GCCCGCGCGCCCGCAGCCGTTGAGGGCTCCGCGGGTCGCTGAGGTTACCACAAAACCCAGCAAACCCCAAAGATCCCGAAAGTGCCTTTTATTTGYTCATTTGTTTACCTTTCCTCAGCGGCACGAGCAGAGGTGCGCGCAGACCTTGAGGCAGCGCTCACCTTTAGTGCAGAGCGAGGCAAAGTCATCTCCGACCTTCACATCCTGGGCTGGGCTTAAAAAAGAAAGGCCATGTAAACGGGGGAGTGAGGAGGGAAATACAACCTCCCTCCCCTTGTAAAGTAAGCACGGCACAGATATCAGTAAGACTTTTTTTTTTCTGCTTTTGGTTTTTAAGAAAAACATGTTTTCAGATTAGAAGTAAAACTGCATTGCTTGAGTGATAGGGGTAGCAATATGACCTTGAACACGTCTATTTTGAGAGCTTTAGTTACCACATCGGCTAAATTTCAATATGTTTTGAAGCACTCTTATGCACATGCTGGTCTTTACTCATAAGCTTAAAGAGGATTGCTCATCTACCAAGGTTAAAACACAGTATAAGAGGGTACAAAGTGAAGGCCTGGTGTACAATTCAGTATAACGGTACCTAATGCACAAAATCCAACAAAAGGTTCACGTTGCAAAAAGAAACTTTAACACTTTGTAAATTGGACATCCTTTGCAACTAGGCTTTTCAGGTAGAAATGTATACACAAAATTCCGATACTTGAAGATACAGTGAAAATAATGCAAAATGCAAACAGAACACATAAGATAACACAGCTCTCATAGTTCCATGGATTGGTGGATAGTTCCATGCCCAAGTTTGTCAAACTGCAGGAGGAAAAGAATCAGCCCTCTTTTTGAACATTTTCATTTGCAGCTTTGCTCAATTTCACAGTACTGCTGCTTTAAAATACTGTCAGCAGCAGGCAAGACAGGTACTGAAATCATATGAGGACCAAAAGCACATGGCCATACCTTGATGTCTAGTGTGATCACAGCAAAGGTATCTAYCCACCAAAACTTAACTTGTGCAGTAGCTTGACTTTTACCTGTGCTTGTATGGAGACAGGTGGCATGGGCTAGTTGTCTGAGTAAGTGCCTTAATCTTTAAATGCACAAAACATATATTTCCCCACTAGTATTACACTGGAAGCTTTAACAGGCTGCATAAAGAAATCCTACCTTCATCTGCAATATAACATGCAAGAGAGACAGCGGCGCAGAAGCCTATATCTAAGAAATCAAAAGTTGTTTAGGATCCAAATGGGATATTTGCTCACTATTCTGGCTTGTTGTTCAGAAGCCTCATGACTACAGCTTTTGTTTCTCTGCATCATGCATTCTGTCACCATTGCTTAATGAACTACATCCAAAACCGAACGAGGCAGCCACAGCAGTGGTTACAGTTTTGATGTGTCTAGAGCACACTGGAAGGAGGATGGAAGAAGAGGCAATGGGGGTGACACAGAAGGAGGCAATCTCTGTACCCCTTCCAGCTTTGCCACRTTTGAGCAAATAAATCAGTTCTGCTTCCGCGTTTGAATCTACCTTATGTGTATAATGTGCCAAGCCATAGTGAGATGCCACCCTCGTGCCCTCATGAAAGGATGTCCAGAGAACAGAAGAAAGGAAATAATTCCTGCAAAGAGCTGCACTTACTGTTGACAGAAAGAGTAGGATGTGGAGGAAAGGATGCAGACATCAATTCAAGTTCTGCTTTTTTTGAAACTTCAGGGAGGAACAGAAATGATTTGCCACATAGGATCAAGATTTCTCTTCTTGAGGCCACTCAAATTGTATAGGGATCCCTAAGACTCATATGTGAACATTTGGAGAGAAAAAGGTATCTGGAAGAGAAAAAGTAACGTGCAGCAGACAGAAGAGTGGGTAGTCAAGTTGGGAGGAATAGCAGAGTGTGAAAAGAGGAAGTACAGAATACAGCATAATGAGAGAGAAACAGTGCAGAAGTAAAAGGAAGTGATATGAAAGACAGCACAGGAAAAGGTATAGCCCAGTGATCGTAAAGAGGAAAAAAGAAACCACACTGAACAAAGCCCCAAAGATTTAGAAATATACACAGATTAAAATGGTCTAAGAGTGCTAAAACTGCTCTTGAAGCAAAGCAGGCACACCGATCATTCCATCAAGCTGTGCAGGAMAGACAAGGAAGAGGTTGTTTTTCCACACTGGAAGGACATGTTACTAATCAGTTTTCATTACCTAACCTAAGGGAAAGGCCAAAATTTAGTCTTCCAAAATTGGAAGAAACCCAGCGTCTGAATTCTAACGTTATTTTCACTTTGATAATTTAAAAGTTTACAAGACCTGCYAGGGAAATTATTTCAATCACTATCTTGAGTAAAATTTTAAATTCTTTACTTGGGCAATTGCTACCACCAAAAATGTTATCAACTGAGAAACTTTTTATTAAGTCATTGTTCTTGTCTGGACCTTTATCCAAGACCTCRTCCAGGAGGAACTGATGAATATGGTAACTTCTTTTTCTTCACMGTCAGCTGAAGAAACATCTAGTTACACATTTAAGAATGTCCAGGCTTGGTCAATTGACCTGCTTTACTGTTACCACCCGTGAATGTATTTCATTTGATACGCATTTGATACTCATTTGATATTCATCTAGAAGTATCATCTTCAGCTTCAGGCATAGGAAAGAGTTAACATTTAATACATTATATGATTATATTAARATGTTATAAAGGGTACCATTTGCTAACTGGTAAGATTGACTGCAAGAAAGCAGTTTCACTGCTGAAACAGCACTGATCTGTAATAATATATCATTACATAACATGATTTTCATATCATGGAAGTCAGATTAGCATTGTGCAGCCTTGTAACATTTAGTAAATGAAGCAGAATACAAATAAATTTTACCAAACTCTTAGTTCTACACCACAACCATTATCTCCTTTACAAAAGTTACAGAAGAAAAAAAGTAGGAATTCTGACAGACTTCACATATCTTGTAGCAAGACTATCAAGGGAGATTAACTGTCATCTCTCGGAAAACATGTTGATAACTTATTGTGGCAAATATATGTGCAAGAAAATACAGAAGAGGTGAGTATATGCCTCCTTGCACAATGCAGCACACACAAGCATGTTAGGTTTAGCACAAAGTAATAGATCTCATTTCAGGAAAACTACAGAACTCAGCGTAGGATCAAGCAGGAGTTAATTCAGCAACTCTAGGCACTCTAGCAGTTACTGCTTGGTAGAACTTCAAAAACATTTCAATAACAGCTACCATAATTGTTCTGTAGCTTAGGTATTTTTCCCCTTTTTCTTTACAGTTTCCTCTTCTCTGTTTCTGCAACTTTTTTTTCACTAAAAATCCGAGTAAGACAAATAAAAGAATTTTTACCACTGATTTCCAAATGTGATATTATAGTTTACTTATTTATTCTTCATAGGTCCAGACTGTGCTGCTAAATATTTATAATATTTTGACCCTCAAGTCACACATCAAGAACTTAATTTCTTAAAGATACAGCAATGATAACTGACAGCTGCAACAGGAATCTTATCGTTTGAGATTGATGACTTCATAGCTTAGTTAAGTCTTAGATAGCTCAGCTAGGTATTTTATATATTCACTTTTTTTTTAACATAGATTATGTAGTAAGTATGAAGAATGAAACTCTTCAGAAATGAAAATGCAATATTCTGATCATATTTTTTATGTAAATTTTCTRTGTTCTCAAAGCCTGTGTTTTCCACATGTGGTAAAGCTATTAAGTTATGAAGAGACCACAGCAGGTCRGAAGTACCATGATGAGGATTCCTGCACCCCTAACACTTGCAGCATTTGAAGAAGCAGGGGTAATATCCTATACACGTGGTAGATGTGGCCTGTTGTCATGTGCCTGCCCAGAACTGCCTCCTGCACAAAACGCTCCCCGCAGTCTTACACGCTGTTGTAAATTAGCAGCAATCACTATAGCTCCCAGCGCTATCAGCCTGCAGAGACATCACAGAAGTCACCTAACATCCTACTACCAGATGTTAGGGGACACTTCATACATCAAGCTGAATGCACAGGTGTCACCTGGAATAATTTTTGTGAAAAGATTTTGTTACATTTTTTTCCCTGTAAATTAAGCACCTACCCGTGATGCTGGATTCTGACTACATATTTTATTTCARTATTTCTCCTCCAGACCACACAACCTAATATACAACAAAATCATTAAAATAAGTACTTTTATAAAGCTTTTTACATTCCCATAAAGGAAATAAACCTCATCTTTTCTTGAAGCATTTGTCACATGCGTTGTCATGGATCATTTGTTTCCAGCAAAGGTCATCTCTCATTTGATGGTGTCCTTATGAGTTGCTGCAGTTTCTTCCGTGTGATTCTTTTCCAAAAATTCTTGCCTAATTTTAGCATTGTGACAAATCACACTGGCCTGTGGAGGACAGAAAGACAGCTGTAAATCTCACTGCAACATAAATTTATTTACCTGTTCTAATCAATTGCATAAAGACTTGTATACATTCCTCACAGAGTTCTAATTTGAGATTCTSCAATACCACTTTACAGTATATAATTCAGAATTTGCCAGGTCAGTGATTTCCCCTCGCTTAGGGTCTGATAACGTTTCAAGACTTGATCGGAGTGTSTCTGGGGACATAAATATATCAGGAGTTCTCAAAATATTTTCATGCCGCATCTGTCCCTATATAGGCACGACACTGGTGACTCTGTTTGCCAGAACTCTTCTGATACAGAGCTAGGGAAGGACAGAGAGTTTGAAGCCCCTTAGCCCAGTCATGCCCCTTAGCCTACTCGAACAAACTCCAATTCTGACCGCAGGGGAAGCATTCCGAGTAAGTCAGGATGCAGCATCCTTCACTGGCTGACACTCTGTTTTTGGAGGAATTAAATCCGTACTTAATACTCTAAACCCACTTTTCTTAAATTTAATAAAAGCTATTAAGGCTTGAAATTCAAAGACTTTCTAAGTTAGAATGAAAGTTGCTTCTATATGCTGCCTCAAATTTATGTTTTCTGCCTCCTACACTTTTTTTTTTCTAGTAATTTTTGATTTTTTTTTTAGCTTTTGTAGTAGATTACCCTTTCTTGAATGATTTCTTGTTCATTAATGTGAGAGCCTTTATGCTTTTTTATTTTATCCTTGTGATTATGGCAGGCCTGACTGCTGCTGTTAGAACAGTGATCAACAAAGCCAGGATGGAGCATCA